TTGTTTAAGTAATCTGAAATCCTTTTCAGTGAGCAATCGTATTTAGCAGTAATAAAACACTAATTTGTCTACCAAGTGACATATTTATAGGAGCTATTTACTTTGCCATATTTTTATTATTTCTACTCATTTGCTAAGTACTTCCCAATACATATTTATGAAGCCCATGCCTTTCCCCAAACAGTAGTGAAATAATAAATCATATTATTTATTTTATTAACAACAGCATAGCTTATAAGTCCTAGTGCCCTAATTTTTGTTTGTTCTGGCAAGAGCAGAAGAATCCATGGTGACAAAGCACCTACTATGTGCCTGTGAAAGGCACTTCACAGCGATTATCTGTTTAATTTGCCTGAGATATAGATTTCACCACTAAGACGGAGACATTACCTTGTTTAAGTAACTCAGCCATAAAGGGCCCAGCAGGGTTTTGAACCTAGATCTCGATTCCCAAAGCCTAAATATAATAATGTCTGTACAATATAAAATATTCCTTTCTGAGAGAAACTGCAAAGGTTTCCCCAGAATGGAACAGTTAGAAGTACAGAGACACAGGATGCTAACCCCAGTTTTTCTATGAGAGGTTACTCTCTGGGGGAAGTTATTCCCTGAGAAATCAGTGGAGGGGCCCTAACCAGTTTGGCTCAGTGGATAGAGCGCTGGCCTGAGAATCAAAGGGTCCCGGGTTCAATTTCTATCAAGGGCACGTACCTTGGTTGCAGACTCCTTCCTGGCCCAGGCCCTGGTCGGAGCTCGTGCAGGAGGCAACCAATTGATGTGTTTCTCTCACATCGATGTTTCTCCCAACTTTCCCTTTCTCTTCCACTCTTTCTTTAAAAAAAAAAAATCAATGGAAAAATATCCTCGGGTGAGGATTAACAACAACAACAACAAAAATCAGTTCAAAGAGAACAAGAACAAGAGTTCTGTTCATTCTTGGAGACGGGTCTGGCCACATGCTTTGCGGGGCACGGTGCAAAATGTTGGACCCATGTTCAAAAAGTATTAAGAATTTCAGGATGGCAATGGCAGAGCATTAATCTAAGCACAGGACTGTGCAACTGCATTGGTCACACCACCATGGAGCTGGCCTTGCCTGGAGGGAAGGTAGCTGTCACTAGTATCTCCCAGGCATCATCAGTCTCAGAATGATATGAGACTGAGTGCTTATTTTATGCTGGAAAAACATTCAGTACTTTTTAAGCTATATGACCCTAAAGCAAGTCTATGTAGCAGCTTTATTTTCTCCATTTCACAGAGGATGAAACTAGGGCTTAAAGAGGCCTTAGCCAGGTAGTTCAGTTGATTAGAGCATCGTCCAGATATATCAAGGTTGCAGGTTCAATTCCTGGTCAGGGCACATACAAGAATCAACCAATGAATGCACAAATAGTGAAACAACAAATCAATCTCCTCTCTCTCCCTCCCCCCATCTTCCTCTCTCTATTAAAAAAAAAAAAGCGAAGGCTTAAAGAGGCTAAATCATCCAATGAGATACAGCAAGTGAGTGTCAGAGTTAAGACCCAAGTTATTTGACATGTAAAAAAATCTTGTCCCTTCATAGCTTTTCAGTACAGACCTATTGTCTTCTGGCAAAACCTAAGCTTACACTGAGGCTATTACACCCAGAAACTACAGAGAGTCAGGGGAGAGGTAGGGCTCAAAGGCTACTCAAGGGATCAAACTTGTGCAGCAGCTAAAGTGCAGCTGTACACCTTCAGGATACATGGACCTTCCATTGGCTGGGAGAGAGAACTCTATACATGACAAATAATGGTCAGAACCTAACCTCCCTTCTTCAGGACAAACAGGAAATGCAATGAGGTCTTTACCTTGATTAAATGAGGAACCTACAACATCTTACTTAATGATAAAATACTGGAAACAGCTCCCTCATGTCAGGAACAGGGACAATGGCTATTGTTGCTTCTATTCAACTTAGTCCTGGAAGTTAGTCTAGCCAATGCAATAGGACAAGAAAAAAAAAATCAGCCCTAACCGGTTTGGCTCAGTGGATAGAGCATCAGCCTGTGGACTCAAGGGTCCCAGGTTCAATTCCGGTCAAGGGCATGTACCTTGGTTGTGGGCACATCCCCAGTAGGGAGTGTGCAGGAGGCAGCTGATCGATGTTTCTCTCTCATCGATGTTTCTAACTCTCTATTCCTCTCTGTAAAAAAATCAATAAAATATATTTTTTAAAAAGAAATCAGGGAAAGCACTTTTTTGAGAGTGGTGTTTGATGAATACTATATCTAGCTCTATTGTAAGCTCCATGCATCACATAGCCTTCTCCTATATCCATCCCCAACACACAGATTTGGACAGTTTTAACTCTGTCCAGTACAACTCCATGACAAAACACATGAAAACCTAGTGAATATGTATCTAAATCCCTTTTCTTCCTCCTGGCTCATAACTCAAGGACATTAGACCCTATTGCTTTTATTCAATTATATTTCCCCCTAAGGCTCCAGTTGACTTTAATACCAATGATATTTCCCTTCTCTGAGTGTTTGTCATTCTTTCACAGATTCCATTATGGAAAATCAGAAAGAGCTGATAAAGTAGATCTCTAGTCCAGCTTTTTATGGTGAGCTAAGCTGAAGAGAGGTTAAAATAAGTAGTCTATACTGCTATCAGGACAGAATG